CAGTACTACTAATTCTAATTGTTTAAAATATAATCTCACCTCAAGCATGTATTCACTAACTCTTTTAACTGCTCCTATATGCTTTTCCTACTTTTTATCTATTAGAATTCCTATGCCTGAACCTTTTTTTTTGTCTACTACTGCACTTGTCCAATATTTCTTATACTGTGTATTATAACTATGCAATAAGAATTTTTCTTCTTTCTCTGTAATGTTTGTTTCCATGATTCCTAGTATTGTTAGTTCTTCTTTTCCTGCCCATTCTAAAAGGTTTTCTACTTTTCATCTCTTGTTTTAAGTCTATTGATGTTGTGGCATGCAATTTTTATTTTTTTTCTTTCCTTGTTTTCATTTTTCTTTTAAGCGTTTGTGCTTTGTTTTCATGTTTTCCATCTTCTCTTTCCCTTTTCTTCTTGTTTTTTCATTATAACCAAGAGATGCATCTGTATTTCTTTTCTTTAAAATTCTTCTTTCACTATGCAAAAACTCTCCAATCTCCTGGTCTATGCTCTATATAAATTTGGAATTAATTATTTTTAATAATTTTATAATATATTTAACAAAAAAAACAAATATAATATAATTTTTTGTAAAAAAACATATAAATAAATAAATAAATATTTAATATAAGTCTTTAACTAATTATATAAAATTAATATCAAATACTAATAACTAATAAATTAAAATTTTAACTAAATATGTATATATATATATTTTTTTGTATTAGCTTTATAATATTATTTTAGATTATATTATAATAATTTATTTTTCAGAACTCTTAAACCTCTATAAGATCCTATTCCAAAATGGTTTAAAATACTCTTAAACTAAATATCTAATCATTCTATTTTGTATATATGGCCTAATCTTCAATTTCAACCTACTAACTCATTTCTAAATACATTAAATCTTATTATACCCAATTTGTTATCTTGAAAAATACATGATCACTCTATACTTCATCTTCAGATTGGCATATTGGCAAAATAACCAATACATCTAACTCTCAAGTACTCTTTCAAAAATATCAAATTACAAATTTAATATCTAACACAATACATATTTCTCCTATATCAACAATGCTTCAAATAAATTACAAACAAACTATTAATCTTAAATGCAAAATATAAAAAAGAAAACAAAACTTTGAACTCAACATAAATAATCAAAAAATTAAAGCACTTCAAAACATCTATGCAGATCTATATAAATTAGTTCCAAAATCTCTACTATTTCTTTTACTATCCTTTTCAAAAATTCTTCTAATACAAAACATAATACCTAACCCTATATACCAAAATCAACTTATAAACTTTCACAAAAAATTATTATCTCTTAAGTTAACTAACCTATATTTTTATACAGATGTCTCTATACTTAATTTACAAACATACAACACTTCTACTGACATTGTTTGAATTCTGGAAAATAATACTTAAATTAAATTTAATACCTTTATAAACCTCACATCAAACTCAACATAAGCAGAACTAGTAACACTTATTTCTTTATTTTTTATTTTATCTCTCAACTATTTAATTCATATTTATTTAAACAGCTTATCTACTATACAAACTCTTATTAATTTAATATCTTATAATCCCAATTCTCAAATTAAACAAAATAACTAGAATATTATCTATATTTTAACCAAACGTAAAAATATAAATTATATTATGCACAAAATTAAATCACATTTAAATAACACTTTATATAATATTGCTGATGCCTTAGCTAAACAAGATGCTAAAAAAATAAAGTTAAAATATAATCTTAACTATCTTTATTTACTTATCTTCTTTACTTAAAAAAAAATACTAATTATATACAAACTTTGTAAATTTTACAAAAACCTCTTTTCTATTCAAATATTTAACAAACTTCTTTAACTAAAACTGCTACAAAATCTTTTTACTATAAATATTCTACTATTTACTGAGATCATTAATTTTCAAAATTCTAATTTGAAATATTATTTGATTAGAAATAAAATCCTCCTTAATAACTTGTCAACAATGTCAAATTTAAATATTTACTATTCTCTATTTTACTTAACTCCAAATTGCTTCTATTGTAACTAATATAAAAATACTAAACATTTACTCTAATACTTACTCTATAATTACAATCCATAAAACATTCTCATTAATAAAACCACCAATATTTTAAGTTCTTTAAACTTTTCTAAGCTTTATCATATACAATAATTCAAATTTTTAATTTATAAAATCTTTCTCCAAACTCTGTTATATATAATACAATATTTCTACTTATTCAAAACACAATAACACTTAACCAATATAAATAACTTCAACTAATTCTAAAAAAACTAACAACTTTCTTATCTCCTTATTTAACTCTCTATTTAACTGATTTAATTTTACTATCTGGCAAACTTGTAATACCAAACAATATGAATAAGAATCAGTATAAGAAATTATTGCTCTTACTAAAAGGAAAAATAATATTCAATTACCTATTTACAACTTTTTAACTTCAACAATAATACATTTATCTTTAATACTAATATAGATTAATTTATTTTTAAAACTCTTTCTCAAAATTTTACTATATATACCTGCTTTTACTAATTAAAATAATCTTAAAAATTACTTTTACCCTTCTTTGTAGTTAATAATTACAATACTTAATTTAACTAAAATAGAAAATTAAAGGTTAATATCATGCTAGATGTTATTATATATATAGCAACAATAGTATAGTTTAGGAATATTTTATTTATATATTTATATCCAATTGATATATCTATGTATTACTATTTTTTCTACTTAATATTATATAATAATAAAAAAAAACTTAATAATAATTTATTTTTAATATTATAACATATATTTTAAGTTAATTTTTAAAAATTAAAATATTAAGTTAAAAGTAATAAAAATAATTTATTTAAGCATAGTAAAAAATACTATATATCTATACAAAATAAAAAAATGTTTGTTTGTCTAACTATATTATATGATATATAACTAATTATATTATAGTAATTAATAAGCAATTAATATTGACTTTGAATATACAATGTTATGCATTTACTTAGTACTATTAGAATATTTATTAGTATATAAATATAAATACAAAAATATAATATTATAATAATATTTTATAGTTAAAAGAATACTATATAATTTATATTACAATTATACAATTTAATAATTTATAATATTACAAAACTTCTAAAAACTATATTATTTACTACAAAAAACTATTTTGTTTCAAAATATAACAATTATTAAAATATAAAATCAAAATTATTATTATTAAATAGAAGTTCTTTTAATGCATTTGTTTGAACAAATGAAAGATTATATAGTTTAATTTTTGAAAGTTACTGTAATATAATATTCAGATATTTTATAATAATATTATTGCAAAATTTTTATAAAGTTTTAAAATTTTATTTGAAAACTAATTTGATAAATAAAAGAAAATTTTAAACAAATTCAAGATGTATAATTCTTAATAAGATGAAATTAACTGATTCTAAAATGTTAAATTTATTAAAGATAATTAGAAAATCTAATATGCTTAAAACTACATTACTATAAATATATCTATATAATTATATATTTTTATTGTTACTTTTGATATAGTTACAACTTTGTTATAATTATACTATTTTTTAGTTTTAGTTATTATAAAACAGTTAAATTTTAACCTTTATTTAGTTAACTTTTTATAATTACTAATTTTTTTGTTTTTTTAATCCGATGACTATATTATATACTGTTTATTAACCTTAACATAATCTCTTATCAATATTACTATCAACATGAATATAAAAGAAATCTAATTAGTTGATATTAACAAGATCAATTATGTCTTTAAACTTTATACAATAAAAATTTTTAGTAATTGTAATATTAAATCTCTTTGTATAAGTAAATTTTTGTAAAGATAAAACGCAATAAAACATATTTGATAAATTTATATTTTTGTACTAAACAGTTTTAAATGATTAAGATTTTAATATAAATTCAATATAATTACTATTAATATACGTAGTAAATTTATAAACTGACGGATTAATTAGAAATTTTAAGTTAAAATTTAAAAAATCTTGTTTCGTTTACTGGTTATACAGTAATTTACATAAGTATATAGCAAAAATGCTAATATACAATTTTATAAAATATATCATTTTTTGTTAATTTTGAAATTAATTTTGAGGACTCTAAAAATTAGAGCATTTGGTTATAATTAATATTAATAAAAACCAAAAGTTTTTATATAATAAAGGTTTGAAATATAAGTCTACAAGTTTTGATTTGTATCTGATATGCAGTGTCAAAATTTAATGCATGAAAGTACGCACTAAAAACAAAAAATAACGCCCGGGGGTGTAGGGTAAAACTTTGGCCCGAATTAAGCCTAATTTAGGCCGAATTACGATTAATTCGGGCCAAAATTTTAACCTACACCCCGGGGCGTTATTTCGAGACAATACGGAATGTTGAACTATATACGTACACGTACATACGTGTACGTACATATAATAAATTCAAATTGATTTTCTTTATAATCCTAACGCTAAGTTACAAGAATCACGTTGAGTGTGTTTAAAAAATGAATACGTACAAAGATCACGTTACATGAATTTCTCATGTAACTAACAACAAATAAAATAATGCACTGCATTGTTGTCAATCATTCATTTCTTTCCAAAAAGTCTCAAGGTTACATTTGCCTGTAACAAAATAATGAATGATGATAAATTTGATGAGTTTAACGATTCTAGTGAATATAATGTAAAACTTATAGTCGGTACAGAACCAAATGTTAAAGAATTTAAAGCGCATTCGATTATATTACAAGCACGTTCAGAATATTTTCAGGCAGCATTATCTATACGATGGGCACGCGAACAGGATGGGTTTTTTATAATCAAAAAACCTAATATTTTACCTAAAATTTTCGAAATTATACTCAAGTAAGGTTATTAAAATTAAATAACTTTTTAAAAAAAGTTTTAATAATAAAAATAAATCTTACATAAATTATTATATTTAGTTATATTTACAGTGGTATAGATCCCATGTATAACTGTAACAAATGTGATGGAGAAGACTCACTTGATATCCTAAAAGCAGCAGATGAACTTGAGCTATATAGTTTAATTCAAAGTATGCAATACCATCTTATAAATCATCATTCATCATGGATATATAAAAATATAGTCAAATCTTTAAATACTGTTTGTCGCTACGTACATTTTCATGAATTGCATGACTATGTTTTTGATGTAGTATGCAGAAATCCGTATATTCTCTTCAATTCAGTTTATTATTCACATTTAGAAGAAACAGCGTTAGGACAATTGTTGAAACGAGATGACCTTGAAATAGAAGAAGTTAAAATTTGGAATTATTTAATAGAATGGGGAATGACCAATTCAAATCCACCACTGAACCGAGATGTTTCAAAATGGACAGAACGGGAATTTGAACTATTAAAGGCTACAATTTCACAATATATACCATATATAAGGTTTGGTCTAATGCTACCATGTGATTATGAAACCAAGGTTAGAGACCCCTTTATTTACATTCTTCCTGAAGGGTTTGATGAACGAATTATGGAGTACTTTTATGGATCTAGTAACTTATGAAGTCCCTGTATTCTATAGATTAGAGAGGAGACATCGTATTTTGATAGATCAAAGAAATGAAGCACTTTTGTATTATAAGGACGCCTTTCACGATAGTTGAAAAAACAATTTCATGATCAAAGCCCGTAGAGAGAAACCTAATTATCTTTATTGTAAAGACTTTGATAATAATTGAATAAACTTTTCTTATTCCTCTTAGTATGAGGCCATCGTGAAAACTTTATCAAGAATTTTGCAGAATGGTAATCTATTAATTTACTAAATCGCATGAATTTTAGTAACCTTACGCTGCAAATTTATCGTTTCTAGAACTAAATTTATGATTATAAAGATTGGTAAAGATATGACATTAGTAAGAATAGAGATATAACACAACACAGGTAATAATTGTGCGTTAAGCATAAGTCGGTAATTGTCTGGAGCGTATGCAAGTACGTACGTAGCTTATTTCTTTGCAAAGTGATACCAAAATTCCATTTTTGGTGCATTTCTAATAAAAATATCAAAAACGTAACTTTGAAGGATTTGTCTGTCGCCATTGCATATTGTGTAACAAAATGAATCTCATGTGATTTCGCCCGGACTAACGGTTTTCGTTTCATAGCACTGTAATACGTCATTTTTAGTGTCAAATTATTTTAAGCCTATTTTTTGACATTTGGCCGATTTTTTGTCATACTTTTCAAAACGATCTAATTCTGGTCAAATCTGCAGATCATTTGGCTCTGGCTTATCAGTTTTAAAACTGATAAACCAGGGCCAAAATGATCTGCAGATTTGACCAGAATTAGATCGTTATGAAAAGTATGACAAAAAAATTGGCCCATATCGGTATGATATAAGAATTTAGATAATTCCTGCAGAGCAATTTAGGCACAAATGTATAACGATAATTACTCAAAAAAAAAAAAAAAAAAAAAGTAACGCGGAAAATTTTTATGTAATTTGTGAATGATTAATCTATTGTCAATGGTTTTAAGTTGAACGAATGCTACAAGCCTCAAAATTCAGTTAAATCCAAAGTCATCGAAATGGATAATAATTATCGAAATATACTTGGTAAATGCTGCAGCGAGAATTGCTGACCGGTTTTTGATTAATGAAATAACAATATTATAATGCTGATATTTTGAGAATCTTTTTTGAGTTTAAATTAATACTTCAAATAGCAGTATTTATTTAAATTTATTTAAGCCCTAAACCATTAAAAACAGTTTACATAGCCATTCTCGAATTATATAAAAATTCCGAATATTTTTTAATTGGAATTGCGAATCATGATTAGTGATAATATCCATCAAAACTTACTTCAAAAACTATGGGTTATAAACATGGTTTATTTTTCACTGAATAATATTAAAGAATTTCAGTTCTTTATTTTCTGCAACCTGGTTAGATGGTTTGCGAAAAATCGATGGTAATGAGTTCAATTATGTAAAAGCACGTAAACGATCTGGCCATTATAATAATTATGCTAATCAAAACAAAAACCATATAGAAGAAATGTTTCGTATACTAAATTGATCAATGATACGATGCATTGCCACTGGCCATAGCGATAAATAATTTTATTTAATAAAATTTAAACCATCAAATACAATAGTTAAGGAATGTTCTATGTCTAATATCTTTTAATCTTGTTATTTATAAAAAATAAAGTGATCGCCTATTTCCATCATGGTTTTTTGCTATTTTCATTATGGTATATTAAAATATTCTATTTTTAAAAAGTTTTTTTTAACTATCCCAGATGATATCATCGTGGGGCGCGTGTGATGCCCTTTTTATTAATTATGATTACTAATTTATTATTTACATATTAAAAGAGTTACTAAACTAAGTATTTGTAGATTTTTTTATAAATAGGTTTGACAAGGTTTTTGTTACGTAGTAGGCTGGAGATTCTGTTTCTTGCTATAGCTAAAATTGCTGATTCTGGATATTGAATGTTTTCCTATTTGAAAGCTGCATTAACAACATCAGATTTTATATACAGTATGCATGTGTAGTTATAAAATAGTCTTATATGTTTTTGTTTTTTTGGTAATGTTCTTCAGAAATATCTTTTCTAATGAGTTTAGTATAGATTTAGTTTAACCTGTTTTTAGAAATTTGTATATTTTCATCTAAATTTTTTTACTAATTTTGCATTCTATTGTAAAGTGTTTGATAGTTTGTATGTTTTCTGGACACCAAGAATATTCACCTAAGTCTGTTATTACAAAATGACAAAGTCTGTATTTTAGTAATAGGATTCTATAAAAAAGTCATTAGAGGATGTTTTTTTTTCTGTTAAGTATTGTTTTTTTGAAGAATCCAATTGTTGTTTTAAACTTGTATTATAGAATCTGATTGGTTTGTAATTTTGAAATTATATTTTCTCAAAAGTTCTATTATAAGTTTGACTGTTATTTTTGGTTCTTTTTTCTTATTAATTTCTAGTTTTGTAGAATTTCAGAGCTAGTTAGATTTTATAAGTATCTCTTTTTTAGTTTTTTTCTATATTAAGAGGTAGAGTTTCCAATTTGTAAGTCATGCTTTAGTCCTAATTAGTTGTATAATAAATGTTTTTTTAACTGAGATGTTTCTTTTTTGAGCAAGTACAAGAGAGATTCTTTTTTTTTTTATTTTTGTCTATAAAAAATTATTTGAGATTAGTTTTATTCAGATTGAGATCAGTCTAGTTTTTAGCATATTGTTAACTATTAATACTTGTAAGTCTTCTTGTTTATATAATTATTAGAAGGTAAAATATTTTAGCATTATTTTAGAATTGTTTTTAATTCAATAAGTAATAAGCCTATTGATTTTGTTATTTGTTTTTTGTTTGATAGCATTAAATAAGCAATATACCAGATTTTTGAAAGAAGCAGTGAGTTTGCTAACATAATTTTTTCTTTAAGATAGGTTTCTATAAGCAAGTTTTTCTAGATTTAGTTTAAGCTTGCTTATAGTTTCTTACTATAAGCTTTTTTTGAAATATTATTGGCAGTAATGTTATATCTTAGAACTGTAATATAATTTTGTTTTTCTAGTTTTTTAAATTAAGTTTCTTCTAAAAGAATCTTTTCTTTTACTATGTTTATAAGTGGCATTAGGTTGTTTTGAGCTTATTAATTTTTGCATTAGAAGTTTTTTAATAATTATTAAATAGATCTAATATTGTTGTTCAATCAGAGTAAAAACTAATGCCTATAGTTAGATCATCTGCATAAGCAGCATATTTGAAAAATTAGTTGTTAATTTTGATTTCTATTACTTTTTTGTTTATTATGTTTAGCAGTAGTTCAAATGCCAACATGTATAAAAGAAAGAAGAAAAAATCTTATTGTCTGATTCCTCTTTCTACTCTAAAGAAATTTGAAATATATCCTGAATTTAAGATGTAGACCTCTTAATAAAAAAACAAATTCTTTATTAAATCTTTAAATTTTTATTAAAGTTTATGTTTTTTAGTACCAGTTAAAAAAAATTATAACATATTCTGTTAAAAGTCTCTTGCTAGTTCATGAATAGCATCTAATGCTCTTTTGTATTATTTTTTTAGTTTCTTAAAATTGTGAAAATGCCTATTGCAAAGTTTGTAATTAGTTTGTTTATAATAAAGCCTTGTTGATATTAAGATACAATTGTTTTACAAATTGTGTTTAGCCTGTTAGCAATAATTTTTATAAAAATTGAGCATTATAGTTAACTAGTGATATGGGTTTCTAGTTGTTTATATTATATAGTTCTTTTGACTTTTTTGGTATTAATGTAACTAAATTTTTGTACTATAAGAAAAGTATTATTCCTAAAATTAATACTTGATTAAAAATTTGTTCTAGAATAGGTGTGATGTTCTTTTGTAAGTTTATAAAACTTATATATGAGACTATCTAGTCTTAGAAACTTATTATTTATTACTTTTTAAATGGTTATTAAAATTTCTTTTTTGAAAATAAAATTTGTTAGCTTTTTGTTTATTTGTATAAAAATTTGTAAAAGATTTTTAGTAATTTGTTTTATTATTTGTTATAGATTTCTTCTTTGCTATATATTATAGAGTATTGTTTTTTAATATAATTAAGTATTTCTTTTTTATTAAATTGTTTTTGAGTTTGTATTTTTGTAAGAGCTAAGTATAAGCTTCTAATCTTAAAACATGAATAAAGTATTTAGTTAATTTTTCTTCTAGATTTATCCAGTTTGTTTTTAATTAATGTTGTCATTTATATGCCAGTTTAGCTAATTCTAGTTAAATCTGTGAGTCAAGTTGGTTTAGTACAACAAAGAAATATATTTAACTAGAAGTCTTGACTATAATTTTTTTAAATTAGCTAATTTTCTTGTTGAGTCTTTCTATTTTATCTTCTGGAACTTTTGGCTTTTTGAAAGCTTTTATAACCAATTTAATATAAATTTTATATATATTTCAGTTTATTGCAAAGGTTGTATCTTTAATTTTATTTAAAACCTCTCTTTTTAAAACATTATTTTTAAATAAGTTTGAATCAAATCTCTAAAATGTTAAATGCCTAAATTTTTGTTCTAAGCTTAAGATGTATTTAACTAAAAGATGATTAGAGTTTCTAAATCTTGTTTTAGATTTGATTTGAGGTAACTGTAGTTTTTATCTATAAAAATATAGTCTAGCCAGATGACTATTATTTAATTGTTATATGTATTTTAATGAAATATATAAAAGAGATTCTGTTTAGAAAAAAAAGCTAAATATTAATAATTTTTTTTGTAATTTTATTAAATAGCATTCTTAAAAAGTTGTTTTAAGGTATTTTTTAGCTCATTTTATTAATTTTTGGGTTCAAGTTTGTGTTTAGATACACTGTGCTAATGTTGATTATGTTTTCTTTCTTATTTATATTCCAATTGTTAAAAAATTTAGTTTTGCTTAAAGTGTTTGGTAGTGCATAAACATTTATTATATAAAAAAAAAATTTCTTAAATGTAAAACATGTTAAGATGATTTTGCCTTTTTGTAATTTTTTGGTATTTTTAAATTTTATATTTTTGTTTCTTGCTAGAACTGTATTTTGCTTGTTCAAATTGAGTTAAAAGACCATTGGTCTTTTAAAAATTGTTGTGTAATAGTATTAAAAATGTTTGTTTTTTGTAAAAGAATAATGTCTAGTTTATATGATTTTAAGAATATTAATGTTTTAGTTTGTTTGTCTAAATTGTTTAAACCTTTAATATTTAACATATTAATTTTAATTGAGTGATAACTTATTATAAATAATTTATTTAGTTTTAGAGTTTTTACAGTTTCTTTGGTTTGAATCATCTTGATAGTTTTCTTTATTGACTACTTTGTAAAGTTTTGAATCCTTATGTTTCTTTTTTTTATATACAATTAGCAAAGGTTAAGTCTTTTGCTTTTTTTTGCTTATTTGTTTAAGTATTTTTCAAATTTAGATTATTTATTACTGGCTCTTGTACTGTATTAAAATTATTTTCAATAGAAATTTCTGTAGATACTGTTATAATCTAATATTTTTTTTTGTTTTTTGTTCTTATAAACATGTTTTATTTATATTCATATCTTGAGTTTCTTCTTGCATTAAAAGGTATTTTCTTTTTCTATATATGAAATAATCTCTGTTAAATTTTTAATAAGCATCCTGTTTTGAGCACTTTTTTTTGAATTCTTGATAGTAAAGTCTTAGATTTCTTGCTTCTTGAAATTGTGTGCAGTCTTTTTAATGTGTTCTATTTGGTCACAAAAATAACAAACTTTTGGTGCCTTTTTCTACTTAGTAGTAACTTTATTATTATCAATATATATAAATCAAGAGATTATTTGTTTTAATTTTAAGTCTTTAATATTATTAAAAATAATAATCTATTGATCTATTATATATAAAATGCCTTTAATAAGTAAGAGTTTAATTAAAACAATTTCTTTAAAATTTTCAAAAGCTTCTTTTACCAGACTAAAGGTGCATTCTTTAGTTTCTAATAGTATATTTTTTACTTTAATTAATAAAAAGAATTTACATGCATCTGTTAAAATATAGCTATAATATATTTTATTAAATATTTTAATGTTATTGGTAGCATAGTATATTAATCAATTTTGGTTTAAAAAGACAATTTCTAAGTACTTTTTTTAAAATATTGCTTGATTGTAACAATGTCTTTTTCTAGACCTTTATATAAAAAGATCATAATTTTATTAAGAAAGTTATAAAAATCTAAAATTTTAATAATTAGTATATTGTTGTTTTTTTGATTTAATTTGGTTTTTAAAAGAAAAAGTTACAAAGATTAATTTTCTCTTTTTAATTTTGCTAACATGTTTATGCTCTGTTTGGCAGCTAATGCATAGCTTAGAGTGGCTTTGTGTTTGTACTGTTTTTTGTAATACAACTAGTTTCATATTCAGTAGCAAACATATAACTAATTTTATTATTGTTTACATTTTTATTGTTTGTTTTATTTTTGTGATTTGACTGTTTTCTAAAATTTGAAAGTTGTTATCTTTTTGAATAAAATTTTTTAATCAGTCATTTTTATTTTGGATT